AAATCCCATGAGAAAAACGCGGGCGCTCTCTTTTTTGATGTGGGGGTGTGGGAGTGTGTGTAAGGGGGGAGTTCAATATTGTGCGGGAAGGGGGGGGGGGGTGGGGGGGGGGGGGGCGGAGGGTACGGGCATAGGTGCCGGATTTGAACACTTCCTTTGTCTCATTTCTGGAGATTTTGACCACAAATTTTACCCCAAACTATGTTTTTGTTAACCCCACAAAGGGATATTTTACCACATCTGAACTATTTTCCAGTCCGAAGAGTCAGGAATTTGACCAAAAAAATGAGAATAAATTCAAATGCCGCACCTTTGCCCGTACCCCCGTCTCCTTCCAAACATTGATACCATCACTGAATGGGAACAAGCACGTGACGCGAAGCCTAACTAACGCTGAAAATAACCGCGAAAATGAAGGAAAAATAAAGCAGAAATTAGAAAAGATTTTTTTATTAAGATTTCAAAGACATAGAATGACTTTACAAGTACTCTTCCTCCTTCATCCTTGAAGGTGAAGTTAAAGTACGTACATTATTTTCATATCGTAAAAATCCTAAAAAAAAGCCCCTCCATGTATAAGCCCCTCCAAAGATAAGCCCCCCAAACCGGTAACGCAAAAACCCTCCGTTAAATCGCCCCTCCAAACATAAGCCCCCGGGGGCTTGTACTCGGAAAATTGCCCTCAATTACAAATACAAAGTAAAACAAAGCAAAACGGTAAATTTACTTCCAACAATAAGGCTAGCCCAATTGATTTTGAAAGGCAAATTTCCCTTCCAGATAAGCCCCCCCGAATATAAGCCCCTCAAAAAGGGCCTTTGAAAAACATAAGCCCCGGGGCTTATTTTCGCAATTTTACGGTATTTCCGAACGGTTTTGGCTCAAATACTCAGTCCAGACTATTCATTTTTATCGGGTGTCAGTTTAAGCGCACAGTTCGCTTAAAACAATCTCTAAACTCCTTTATTCTCATCGCATAGATCCACGGGTCCAGCGCCGAGCTAACAAGAGACAGTGTAGCACACCACATCCAAACTCGATTATTTGCCTAAAAAGACACACATTGTCGGAGACCAAAATCTGCATGATGCTGACCACGATGGCTGGCATTGAGAGAAATATTACTACAACTATCGCAACCGCCACACTCCAAGCTGTCTTCCTGGCCCTCCGGACTTCCTTCGCTACTGATGTGTTAACCTGATTATCTACTTGCCTGTTGCCCTCGGCGGAGTCGACGGGCAAATCTAAATTTGAAACACATCCCTCTGCGACGTGGATACGCCTCGACTGAGTACGCGCAGCTCGTAAAATTTTTCCATAGCAGAAGAGGATGATTGTCATTGGCATCAGCCCAGTAAGGACTCCACATGTTATCCACATGTTTGGCAAGTCATCGTTGCTGGTAGCGAAGAATGCGGAATTGAAAGACAGGCCGAATGTCCATACGCATGCGATTGCAATGCAGCTTCGTTTTTCTGTGACAAACTGCGATATCTCAGAGGGTAATTCACGGCAATGAATCTTTCGACGCTCATCACAGTGAGTGAATGCATGATAATCGTGGAAGCGGTCATTGCCAAAAAACTTTCCAGCTGAAGTAGTCGCTCCTCTCTGTATTGCCAAGAGACAAAGTTTGTAATTGCAACGTAGAACGGGTTGACTACCAGTCCGACTAGGAGATCCACAGTGGCTAAGGAAGTCATGAAGTAGTAACTTGGCTCTCGGAGTGACTGATTCTTGATGAAAGTAATTAGCACAAGAAAGTTTCCCGTTATTGCTGCGAACCCGGAGACACCGTTAAAAATTCCCAAAATTAGGCTTGAAATACGAGATATTTCTCCGGTGCAATTCAGTGAATCAGACATTTATCAAGTTCTGATTAAGTATTTGATAAAATGGTTGGTTTAGATCTTCAATGCTTAAAATTTATGGTCAGCTAACGATGGCACTTTCCTCAAGGTAAACTGAACAAACGGCTCACTTTGTGACACTTAGAAGTCAAACGTAATCAAAATCTCGAATTGAAAATAAAGTAAAATTAAATTTATGAAAAGAAATTCAATTTTGACTCATCTTTTTGGCCTGTGGCAGGTGCAAAGCATTTCTTCCGACTATGAATATTAAAGTTGGATGTATTAAAACAGTCTTCTCGTTCAACAGTCAATATTAATTGAACATTCACAGTTTGGCTTTGTTTCAGAACAAAGCCTTTCAAGGCATAATTGAGTGCATCTTAAGTACACAGAGTAGGGAAGATAAGAAGACGATTGATTTTTGCTGCATCACAATTGACGCATCTATTGAAAAATAATGAAAAATTGAAATTTCTCACTTAATGTGTAATAAATATTATTGACTTGAGGTTGAGCCCTAAAATGTTGATTAAATTTTATGCAGAAAAGTAGCGCAACTTAAGAATCATATTGATTATGTCATTCTGAGATGAAGTGTTTTGTAGCATGTGATAGTTATCATTTCAGCAAACACTGCAGACCAACACTATCTTAAAATTATCCAGGAAAGCAGTAGATTACTCACAATAGGAAGCTTTAAACGCTTATCATTCACCGATCAGTTTTCAGACGAGTTTACTGGGCAAATCAGCGGGCCACCGTAGGTTTGATGGAAAATGTCTTGCTGGCAAGACAACTTTTGGGATAAATTTCCTGTGGCTGGTGCTGTTTTGATAATCTATCTTTACCAGGATGAACGCAGGCTACTGCGAAGAGAGAGATTTGAGATGATTCTAGTTCCTCCTCAAAGCAGGTATTTATACTCAAACACTTGGGATTCCAGACAGTTTACGACTGAGTGCGCCGGATAAAGCGGATTGTTTTCGTTTCGTACGATCAATTTCTCAGGAGACTTAATACAGCAGTTAGAAGATTTCTCGTTTGATAGCTCTCTCCTTTGCCCATCCAACGGCAGAAGTCGCTGAAACTAAGCGAATAACTTCAAAGCTAAAGGTCATTCTTTTCATGAGCAAGTACTGGAAACTGCGCACTTGTTGTCGGGGCCATTTGTGAAATAAATTTCGTTCCAGCCCAAAACATTTAATGATAGTTAAATAGTAATTTACTGCTTTCCTGGAGAATTTTAAGATAGGGTTGTTTAACTGTGACAATAGACGGATCGAAACGCACCAATTACTGATTACGAGTCTTCATAGCCAATAACATCACGGCTCAACTGACAGATGACCAATAACTTCGCGACGTAATTGACCAATCAGATCAATAACCAGAGTATAATGTCATCAACTCTGCACTATGTTGAGTGAAACTGAGACTTCTACTGATGGCGTGTCCAACAGCTTTGCAGTCAGTGACAGTTGTTGTTATCAGGATAAGTCCTGATGCAAGTGGGCCTGCTAGTTTGAGTTGGAACTTTTGATAAATTCATATTCTTCGAAATTTTGCCGAAAAACGCCTTTTGAAACCGTTTTCTGGTTACTGTCGGACAAATAGAACTAAAAAGACCCAAAACGACACTGTTTATAAGTTGAGCGCTGGACTACCTTTCTTCCCAGACGCTAAATACAGTGGAACCTCCTTTTAACGAAGGGCCAAGGGACTGGCAAAACGTGTTAGTGTTCGCTGTAACGAGGGTTCGTTACCGGGGAAAAGAAAATCGTTCGTTATACCGAGAACTTCGTTACATAGAGGTTCGTTAGGTTCCACCGCATTAGCTTCCCATGTTCGGGCATGCGCACAAGGCAAAGTGTGACGCCTTTCCCTCGACTTTAACCTGTCACTTCTTCTCCTCTCCACTTCTTTCGGCATTTACTAAGGTTCATTTTGGTGGGAAAGTTTTGAGGAAAACGTTGAGAATGGCAAGATTACTTCGAAGGAAGTGCAGGTGGTTAGTAGAACAAGAATGTCACTGGAATTTTCGGGTCAACTACACAGTTTCTTCGCGTTTTTTTCGGGGGGAATGTTTGACTAAATCAACCTTGGTGTGAAGTATATAAAATAATTCTTTTTTTTTTTTCATTTTTGAACTGCGGTTGTAGATGAAAGTGAAGAATGATCATCGCAGTAAATTTTCCAATTTAAGCAATTGGAAAGAAGAAGCCTGAAAAAAAAAACAAAAACAAAAAAAATCAGGGCTTCAACGGGATTCGAACCCGTGACCTCCGCGTTGCCAGTGCGTTGCTCCACCATCTGAGCTATGAAGCCACACATTGGGAGCGAGGTGTCGAGCGAGGTCAATTTATTGAGTTCATATCTCCCGTGAGGAGTGAAATGGTGTTAAGTATATGAAATAATTCATATATTTCTTCCCCCTACATAAATGAGATGTCAAAGTTATCTGATGACCGGTAGAGCTGATGACGCCACCAGTGTTTTAACTCGTTTCCTTCCGCTTCCCATATCCCCGCTCATTTTGCTGTACTCGCTCAAAAATATACACTGTATTCGTTGCATGGCAATATCCTTTATTTGCAATTAAACTAGGTAAGGTAGCAAATCAAGCTTACACTTGACTTAATAGCTCTCACCAGGTGACAACAGAAGTATTTTAACCAAAAATTCTGGATCTGAATCAACGGTTGTATTCGCGACAAACGTTTTGCCTACGCTCATTTCGTTCGTGAAATGTTAAACTGCTTTTCTCCACCCAGGACAAGGGCTACAGGGGATATCTCTTCTTTCACAAAGTAAAATACGTTTACGGTTGATATTATTATCATTTTTTCTTTTTTTCAGTTTGAGCTGAGGCGGCGAGCAGCGAGCTCCCACTTTTGCTCAAAGTTTTAGTGGGTGTAGGGTAACCACTCTAACACTAAGCAGCGAGCGGCGAGGCCTTTAACTGCGACAAACGTGGGCAGCGTAGCCCGAGAAGAAAACCTAAAGGAATGTTTTTTTTTGTTGTTTTCTGGCTGACGTACCAACGTTCCTTTTTTGCTAATGGCAAAAACGTTCAGGAAACACAGAGAATGTTAATAGTCCAGTTTGAACCAGCAAAGAGAACGGCGACAATAGAAGTCACTCATTTTTGAAGGACACCAAGAATGAATACAAACGCCTTTATATCATTACATCATTATAGATACTTCCAACAATTTTGTTATCTGTTCCCATCGAAATGTAGGCTGGAAATCACGTTTTCGAGAAAGCAATAAATAAGAAATATCGAATTGTCAACACGCAACAATCAGAGAGAAATAAACGACATCAGCGCCCAGTTTCTCAAAGGACGGTTAGTTCCAACCCAGAGTTCAAATTCTTAACCTCCGATTAGGTTTTAATACCAGTATTTATACAATGTTTTGAGTATCTTTTCCCGGTAAGCATATCTACATGGGTCTCTGAGTTTACGCTAATAAATATTTTCTAAGTTGCGGTTACACGAACGAGAAAACTTTGCTTAAAATTTAGCTAACCCCAGGTTAAAATTAACCATCTTTTGAGCATCCGGACCAAGGAAAAAATATGTTCAACACAAAAATTACAAAATTATGGATGAGATAAACACAGATTATCTCACATAAATTTTTTTCATTAAATAATATTTCATCTGTAACTCATTATCACGGTGCCAAAACTCAACATCCACAGCATTTCAAACGAAATAAATTACAGACGTAACTTGTCTGTCGAACTCTTTACAATAACTTATTAGGCTGTTGCTTTTCCCATCGTTATCCTTCCGGGAATAATCCTGGAAAGGAAATGAAATTGAAAAAAAAATCAAACATTCATAACTAGAGAATATAAGCTTCCCCCCGGGGGGGGGGGGGGGTACTCCCTATAATGGCCCATACTGGGATGCTCCGCCCGAAAGGGGTACCTTTGTTAGGTTTGAGGTATATGAAAGAGTGGAGATTTCACTAGTTAAAGTGTAGCAAAGTGTATAAAAGTGTAGGAAAATCTGTCATTTCGGGTTGTCAAAACGACTAAAAGGGCAAACATACATTTTATTCTGGTTTTGTGATTTACTCATATTTTAAAGACATGCAATGAATTTACAGCAGTTAAAAGGGATGAAAACTTTTAAACTATAGATACGTGAAAGGGGTAGCATTGTTAATAGAAGGTACACGAAAGGGGTACCTTTTCTCTCAAAAATGATATATAAATGGATGAGGGGCTGGACCTCGGGGCGAAACCTCCCCGTATCAATCTTTGGTAAATATCCCCTCTGGAAATGTAGGATAAAAAAATTGATTTCAAAAATGGATACCTCCACACCTTTTCCCAGTTCTCCCCCCACTCCACCCCCAGTGCAATCAGGTTACACCCCTTATAGATACACCGTAATTCCAAAGTAATAACTCTATAGATTTCAAAACTGAATAATAAAGGCGAAATGTAGTTTAACACATCATACCTTAATTGCTGTCATCTGCCACGTTTGGGAGAAGATGAAGGCTCATCTCTAGACGTTACCGGGGAATTCAACTTTGGCCTGACGTTAAGAGAATAATATTTTACAAAGTAAAACGAAATAGGCATGAAAATTTACTCTTGAGACCTAGTAGGATTCCATTCATTTCATACGCAGGTAATGACTGATTTTATTCTTTTACATGGGCATAACCTTTTGACGAAAGAAAATGGACTGCCTAAATAAGATAATTGTAACAATAAATATCATAATTTTTTATAATTTCGATTCTGTACTAATTTGGAATGTGGATGTCATAGGGAATGTTATACATCAAGAAATGAATGAGTGAATGAGTAAATATATAGATAGATAAAAAGACAAATAAATAACAAATGCACATTAATGCTATAAAACTGGAAAATAAAACCCACAAAAAGCCCTTTTCCCCTTGGGCCAAGTTGTTCAAAGCTGGGTTAAGATAACCCAGGGTTGGCGCGAGATTTGAATTCAGATTTGAAAGCTTAAAACGCAT